GCAAGATGGTGCGGCCAAGCTCTAAGCAGTTCTTAGGCTGGGCTTGTGGCTCAAGTCTGTTTTCATATTTCTAGCACAAGACAACACACTATGACTATGGGAACTGGTGTCCCATGACTGTACCACCAGCCCGAGGTGGGAAGCCACCACTCCATAACCATGTGGCAAGCACCCCAAATACCACAAAACAGTGAGGAGGGGTGAGCTGAAGGGGTAGTGACTGTGACTGTCATCCCCTGCCTTGGGGCTCTGCTCTGCAGAGCATCACCAGTTTCTCCCTTGCTTGATATCAAGGCCTCAGACTTAGCTGGATGCCCTGACCCAGTAAACCCACACAGGATAATATGCTTAAGAAAATCACTGAGACCATGTCTGAAGACATCAATAAAGGAACAGAACAGAACAGAACAGAAAACTTGGGTGTGGGTGGCTCCTACCTGTAATACTACCTACTCAGGAGGCAGAGATATCGTAGTCTTGTAGCCTGTCCATGAGATTTTTTTTTTTTTTTTTGCCAGTCATGGTGCCTGAACTCTGGGCCTGGGCACTGTCCCTCAGCTCTTCAGCTCGAGGCTAATGCTCTACCACTTGAACCACAGCACCACTTCCAGCTTTTTCTGCTTATGTGGTACTGAGGAATCGAACCCAGGGCCTCATGCATGCAAGGCAAGCACTCTACCACTGAGCCACCTTCTCAGCTCCCATGAGATTCTTTATTTCCAGTTAATCACAGAAAAAAAACAGAAGTGGAGCTGTGGCCCACGTGGTAGAGCTCCAGCCTTGAGCAAAATGAAGCTTAAGGACAGTGCCCAGGCTCAGAGTTCAAACCCCAGGACCAGAAATAACAACAACAATAATGAAAAATACAAAGCAAAACAAAACAGAACTAGGATAATGTGGTAGGCCTGGGTACAAATTTGAGGTTCACAACAACTTGATGAAAATTTGTGAGTCAGATATGGTGGTTCATGCATGTAATTCTAGCTACTTAGGAGGCTGAGATTGGGAAGATTGTGGGTTCAAGTGCACGAGACCCCATATTCAACATAAAAAGTTGGGCATGGTAGTGAATACTACTATTCCAGCTCTGGTTGGAAGGGTAAACAGGAAGATGGTTTGTCTAGGCCTGCCTGTGCAAAAAGTGTCCAGAACAAAAAGGAGTAGAGGCATGGCTCAAGCAGTAGAGTTCCTGTCTAGCAACACACACACACACACACACACACACACACACACACACACACACACACACACACACACACACAAATCTGAGTGGGGTCAAGGCAGTTTTCTTTCTTAAAGCCAGTTATGTGGCTATGATCCATGGCACTGCAGAGAATCACAGGGGTCACTTCCTAACAGTGATGTTTAAGAAGAGTTTTTGTATGATGTAAACGCTTACAGATATTAAAAGACTAAAGCAAACTACTAAGAGGAGTACTGGATTGCTTTGTCAGGGATCTCCAAACATCATAAGATGTTGACTAATGGTCAAGCAAAATGAACCAAGAGCAAACCAAAGATCCTAGTGCTTGGTTTGAAGAGTGCCAATATGGAATTTGAATTCCAGATGATGGCAGCATGGCACTTCCCATGTCTAGGTCTCTGTACCCTTCAACCCAGAGCAGGTATGATGTGTCCTTTCAGTGCTATAGATCAGAAGTCAGGGCTTGCACATGCTAGGCAAGTGTTCTACCACTGGGCTGTATTTCACAGCCCAACAGAGGAACAATTAAAAGATGAATGGCTTCTCAGGAAGGTCTTTCTGTCTCCTCAGCATTGTGCTGCCCACCATCTTGGCAGTATCACCTAAAACACCATTCTCCCCAGCTATAGAGCCACTGCCACTCCCTCTTCTCACATTTACATGTGTTCTACAGTTACTTTAATGGATCCCCAAAATAGTCCTATGTGGGGAATGTCATTACTCCATTTTTTTTAATATGGGGAGACTTCAAAAACTAAATTTATGGTTTAAAAACCACCTAGATAACATGGTGCTGTTACAGAGGTTCAATGCTTGCTTGAAAAATTTGGGGCCAACAGTGGCCTTGCAGAAAAGTCATTCTGGTATGTATGGTATACAAATGGGACTGAAAGTGACAAATCTGCCATAGTCTATTGATTCTAAGATGAAAATTTCTTCCCACTCATATCTGAAATCCAACATGTCTTATAATTGATGGAATCTTTCAGTTATGACTGGAAGTACTCTGTGTGTGTGTGTGTGTGTGCGCGCGCGCGCATGTGTGCGTGTCAGGGCTTCATACTCTTGTTTGACCTTTTCATTCACAGATGGCACTGTACCACTTAAGTCACACCTTTTTGCTAGGTAACTGGAGATAAAAATCTCTTGGATTTGTCTGTCTGGGCTGGCCCTGAACTTTGATCCTTGGATTTCACACTTCTGAGTAGCTAGGAATATAAGCACGAGAGCCTTTTCTTCCCTTCCTTGCCTTTCCTTTCTTCTCCTTTCCTTTCCTTGTCGACGGTGGAGTCTGAACTCAAGGCCTAGGCACTGTCCCTGAGCTTTTTAGGCTCAAGGCTAGTGCTTTACCCACTTTGAGCCATAGCTCCACTTCCAGTTTTCTAATGGTTCATTGGAGATAAGAATCTCACAGACTTTCTTGCCCAGTCTCTGGCTTTGAACCACGATCCTCAGATCTCAGCTTTCTGAGTAGCTAGGATTACCACGATTCTCAGATCTCAGCCTTCTGAGTAGCTAGGATTACAGGCGTGAGCCACCAGCATCTGGTGCACGTTCTTTCTTAATGCTGACTACAATAAAGGTATATTTTAGGATTGAACGGCAACTCAAATTCAAGGAAACATGCCCAAACCATTGTTTATCTTCCAATAATGCTGTTAATAGCTGTCTAGCAATCCCATCTTGTGGATGTTCTTTCAGTTACTTTCCTCAGATACCTATCATGACTACTTAGTGTGTTCCAGTGTCTTACCAGTAAAATTCCTGCTGTGAACACCATGGAATTACACTGTCCCTCTTACTACCAGTGGCTTGGGAGAGGGTGGACATTTCTTGCCCTTCCTATTTCTGGATCTTCCTATTTCTTCCTTTGTGGTGCCTTTTCCTGATGTAAGCACCTATAGGTTCTCTTCTGAGTCCCCACAACATCCCTCTAATAGTCTCTCTACCTCTAGCTTTTCTTTCATTCCATCACTGTCTTCCTGATCAAATCTGACACAGGTACATCATGTCTCTTTTCCCTACAGGGCAAATTTCACACACTCAGCCTGTCATCCAAAGCTGCCCAATCTAGTTCCAGCTTTTCCCACAGCCCCATCTCCTGCCTAAAACCCAACTTCTGATAAAACAGCCAGCCCACTGGCCATGAAGGGAAAACCCCGCCTTCCAGCCTCTGCTTGTTCAGCCAGCCCCAGGCCCACACAGGGAGGGGAGCACCTGTCCTTTCCTTTCTAAGCTTTACTCCACAAACCCGTTCCTGTACACCTTTCTTACACACTTTAAGCTCACTTGATCCTTACAACAACCTGGAGATGTGGGAAGAACAAGGTAGTCTTATCTATACTTAGTATGTAGACAAACAGATTAAGTGACTTGCACTTTTTGTTGTTGTTGTTGGTCATGGGCTTCAACTCTGAGCCTGGGCACTGTCCCTCAGCTCTTCAGCTCAAGGTGAGCACTCTACCACAGTGCCGCTTCTGGTTTTCTGGTGGCTAATTGGAGATAAGAGTCTGATGGATGTTCTTGCCTGGGCTGGCTTTGAAGCATGATCCTCAGTGCTCAGCCACCTGAGTAGCTAGGATTATAGGCGTGAGGCACCGGTGCCCAGCTGTGACGTGCACTTTTATACATCGGTGTAAAACTCCAAAAGTACAGAACCGGGGTTCAAACTCCTGGGCTTCTGTCTTTAAATCCACCTGGCACCTCTCAGGGACAGATGTCTGTATATTAGAAAATCTTCCATGAAACAACGTGTGCCCAGCTGACCTTTAGCACTACAGATTCTACATACATCACAACCTCAAGACAATGATCAGAGTGAAAATACTTCCAGCCTGTAGGGTCCTAATCAGGAACTAAGGCATGCCTAAGCCAGTAGTCCTACTGTCCTTTCAGAGTGACAATATTTTTCTCTCACAACATCATCAGGCTGGCCTGGCCCAAGATGATAACAAAAACCCAGAGTCATTTCACTTGAAGACAAGCAAGTCATAGGAACTTGCTTCAGGCTGATGGGCTTTCGAGAACTAAGGGAATGGAAAGCAGAAACAACAGCACTGGTCCACAGGCAGTGTGACCTGAGCAGACCCCTCCCAACTCACTTGGGAGGAGCTGGGCTGGGCATGCTTGTTCTTGGTTAACCAAAAGCTTCTCACAGAACCTGGAGAAGTAGAACTGCACTGAGTTTTAGAGAAGACCCAACTTTACAATGTATTGCCTAACAAGCCAGTAGGGGATATAGAGTGAACTGAGGTTTAGAAAGGAGAGGGCCATACAGGAGGCTTACATCGTCTCCTGCTCCTCCGTGCACTTTGTAGTCACTCAAATCGCCAACAATACACAGAAGCCATGAAGGTGAATCCCTAGGACACCTTTCTTCGTCAAGTATGGAAGAAAAGGCCCTTTGAGGAACCAGGGACAGCAGGGCACAGAGCAGAAGCTTTAGGACTTTGGGCAAGTCATTTTCTTCTCTTCCCTGAGACTCAGTTTCCTCACAGGATTCCTCACGGATATCCTGTGAGCCCTCAGAGAAACAGCAGCAAGGGTGAGGGCCTGGCGCCATATTTAAGACACAGGCAGTGGGGCTTTCATTTCTTCCTTCATTGAAGCAGCAAAGGCCTCCCAAATGACGCTTGGCCCCCTCATATGACAGGTGAGACCAGGAATTCCTACTCCAGACACCCCCCCCCCGCCCACAAACACACATACTCTCACTCCTCAGGGGGAGTAAAAACTGAGTTAGGCTTCTCAGCCCTGACCAAACATGAAGCTGGCCACATGCCCATGGACTACTTACCGGCTCAATTTTCAATGCGTTTCGGTAGCTACCAAAGAAAGCGGCCTGGGCCTTGAGGAAGGCTCTGGCCACACCGTCGCCTGTGGCTGTGGAGACCTTCTTCAGCCTGTTCTTCAGGGAGGAGATCTGGTGGTGGAAAGGAAACACAGGTTGAGGGCAGGCTGCAGGAGGGTTAGATTTGATAGACTGCTGAAGGAGAAACCAGTATCAGTGCAGTGTCCCACCCCTCCCAGTACTGGGGAAGGCACCTTGGAGCTCCACATACTAGACTGTAGGTTACCACTGGGCCACACCACCAGCCTCAAGCACATCTATTGAAACTATTTTTTCAAGTACTTACTATGTGCTACCTAAGCACTCCCACAGAAAATCTCTATTTTTTCCTTCAACAGTTCTATAAGGAAGGAATTGGTGTTCCTGTTCTTTGAGAGTGAAATGGTATCTGAGAAGTTAGTTACATGCCTAGGAACAACCCAAGATGGAGTTTGAATTTAAGTCTTATAACCTGAGCCCAACTATGCAAAGACTTTTAGTTCTAATTCCCTCTTTAAGCTACTTACAAATATTAGAAATAGAAGGTTAATTTATATACCTATACATCACAATGTAAAGCAATAGTTGCAGCAGGTAAAACAAAATAAACAAGAGATAGTAATAGGAAAAAAGGCAAAGAATCGGGGACCAGATTTAACATGTAACTATAAGTTACATAGTGGCTAGAGATAGACTTCAAAATTGAATTAACAACCTCCTGGTAGTCAAAGCAAGAGGGGAACAATAAATTGGTAAAGATTCCCTGTACTATGTTTTATAAACAAATCAGCAGCTGAAGAGCTGCTAGTGTCACACTATTTCCAGTGTGCTCTTCATTCACGTCAGGATGCTACACTGCACAAACTTCAGAGTGCCCCATTTATACTATGTCCCATTTATATGGTATCCTGTAATTATGCAATGTGGTGACCTGAGTCATTCATTCATATCACAAATATTTATTATGCTCAGGACTATTTTATTTTGTGTTGGTCCTGGAGCTTGAATGCAGGGGCTGGGTACTGTCTCTGAGCTTTTGTGCTCAAGGCTAGTGCTTGACCATTTGCATCACAACTCCACTTCTGGCTTTTTGTAGTTAATTGGAGATAAGAGACTCAAGGACTCTCCTGCCCAGGCTGACTTTGAACTGTGATCCTCACATCTCAGCCTCTTGAGTAGCTAGGATTACAGGCATATGCCACCAGCACCTGGCTTGCTCAGAACTAATTTAGCTGCTGAGGAAACCAGGTATGGACCTTGTTTGCATTCAGATGAAAGAAAAAATATGCAATGTGGCATTATTTCTATGCATGTCTGTTAACAGAAGTTGCCGAGAATGCCAGGAGAGCCTTCTAAAGGAAAACAGGCTTAGAGTAAGAATTAAAGGACAAGTTAAAGCATTTAACTAGACAAGGGCTGAGAACTGTGTGCTAAATCTGGAGGGTAATGTGCAAAAGCCCTGTGGTAAGGAGTTCAGAGAATAGAAAGAACCGGGCTTCAGCAGAGAGAATGAGGGGGAAGATGGCTAAGATGAAGCTAGAGGAGCAGGAAAACAGAAAGGGTCTTCCTTTATTTTGAGAAGTGGACAGCTCCCTAGCACATTAGGAACACATCTCAGGAAGCCACTACTGTAAACTGTTTAGATATGGATTATCTATGTTCTGGTATTACTTTAAGGATAAAACAGAAGATTAGGTTTAGATAATCCATACATCACTTATAAATCTGCAGTGGTAATTCTCCTGGGCACAGGATCCACATCTTTCCCCAGAGTCCTCCAGGTGCGTAGGAGCCAATAAACATTAACCATCGTTGACCTGGGATGGACTACATATACTAGAGAAATGGCCCATAGATACTATGTGTTGCTGCTAAGGAATTTATTTAGTTAGTTAGTTTGTTCATGTCAGTGCTGGGAACTGAACCCAGTGGTTCAGTTGCATGTGAAGCAAGTACTCTACCATTGAGCAACATTCCTAGTCTCTACAGGGGAACTTACAAAACTTAGGCAGCTTACTGAGATATATTTCACTATCACAAAATTCATTCATTGAAAGTATATAGTTTTGAATGTTTTTTAGTATACTCACAACTCAGACAGCCATCACTACTCCCTAACTCCAGAACATTTCGACATCCCCTAAAGAAATTACATATTGTCAGATGTTACTCCCCCCCATCAATTCTAGCTCATACTAGCCAAAGGCCACTATTAACCTACTGTCCCTTTCTATGGATTTGTCCATTCTGGACATTTCATATAAATGGAATCAGATAATAGATAGTATAAAATGATTCCATTTTTTTCACTTAGCACAATACTCATTGCAAGCAAGCTTTATCCATGTCGTAACATGTATGAGAATCTCATTCCTTTTTAAGGCTGAATAATATTTCACTGTTCCATCGATAGCACACCTTATTTACCTGCTCATCAGTTTCTCCTTTTGGGTGATTATGAGTAATGCTGCCAAGAGGAGTCATATACAATTTTTTGTGCAGAATCGGCAGGGATTTTGAGGTGAGACCCTGAATCACAAAAACTGTGTGTTGCCAGACCTTGTGTGTGATAAAGACAAGCAAAAGGCCAAGTAAAGTCCCAGAGTCCGGTGCTCAGCTGGCCACTAGTAAGGGTCAGCCAAGTGTAGGAGGCGCTCATGTGCAGCTGCTGCAGGATGTGTCACCCACACTCTGAGCTGAGAGAAGGTCATGAACAATGGGAACGAGCATGGGGCTGCCTACCCACCACTGCACACAGGTAAGCCACTGAACCCCAAGATCCTCTGAAAGCCACAGGCATCTATCTCAGCCCAGGAGATAGAACAAGTGTGCAGTGCCTCTCCTTTCTGGAAGCCGTGAGCCCCAACACCACAGTAGTGAGAGCCCGAGGAGTGAAACAGGCTGCTTGGTACATGGGCACTCTGACGTGGACTTTCAACTTGAAATAGAAATAGGAAAAAGCAACAAGCTTTATTAAACTGTTAAAAAAAATATCGCCCACCCCCCCAAATAATAAAAATCCTGCCCCACTTGATGACCAGGGTGACATTTCCATCCTTTGAAATGGTGCAAGCCACTGTCGCTCTTCTGGTTCCTCAAAGGCCTTGGGCCACCTGGGCCGCAGATTATTCCTCATTTAACCTTCCCTGGCCTTTCCCTTTCATTCAGAGGTGTTTAATTACCTTGGATTCACAAGCTGCACTTCAGGTGAGCCTCTCCTAATGGCCTCATTACCATTTTACACAAAGAAGGAGTCGCTGATTGTAACTGAGCAAATAGGAGAGCGCCTTCCAGCCTGAAACAACCGAGTGGTCCTGGGCTCCTGACATCCTGTGACCACCTAGGCCAAGACTTCTGAAGACCTCCCTCATCCCGCCATACAGAGAAGCTTTTGTCTTGACCCGTCACCACTTCAAACTTTGAAACTGCAAGTCTATGTGCATCTAATAGCTGGAGACAGCATTTGTCTTTTAAATAAAAGAGAGGGCAGAAAAAGGGAGGCTTAACTAACCCACCATAACACATCTAAAGCTGAACTTGAACCCTGAGGCCTCCTGAGGGTGCTGGTCACATCATTACATTGGGGCTCAACAAGGGTAATTTGGGGGTGTTGGAAATGCTGGTGGGGATGGCTTCCTCCTTTAATCAGGTGTCATAGGAGGAAGACAGAAAACAAAGGTAAGAGGTCACAAAATTGCATTCATCAACTCTCCTCTAAGGCTGCCCTCTGCCTCCTCTGTGTCTCATCTTTGTAACTACAGTGCCATCTAGCTAGCTCTTGGGTCAGATGTCAGATTCTGTACTTCTCCACCCCTTCCACAACCATTCTCACATCTCATCAACACCACCTACAGGGCCTGAGTCTGCCCTTGTCTCTGGGTGTCCAATGACCTTGGCCCTTTGAGGCCACACTGGTGGTGGTACCCTAGGGCTCTGTGCTTTCACTTTCTCCTCAATGCTCTCTGCCTACATTATTCCTTCACCAACCCTTTACTGGCCCATCCTTTGCCATCTCTTTCCCAGAATAGGTTGTACAGGCATTCCTCAGTTGGCATTCCCCCTACCTGCCCTGTGGAGCATTTACATGATGTTACTGCTCTCCTATTCAGCCCAGTCACATATCATTAACTCTGACAGAGTTGTCTCTTGCTCCTCCTTGTCCTGTCTATGGACATACATTTACTACTTGAAAGACCACCCAAGCATCCATCAATAGGGGCCCACGAAATAAGTTACATCATAATGAAATGCTGTGAAGTTGCTAGTGGCACTGTACTAGAAACAAATATGGATTAAAAAAAGTTCAAAAATACTCTGAAATGAGAAAAATGTATTTCTACTATTATACAGTAATATATGTATAACATGGATCATTTCAAACCTCATGTAAATATATATACTTAGTTAAAACCATAGGAAGATGCTTTCACTTTTTATTTTATACACTTGATTGTTTTGATTATCCCTTATAAAAAAACATATGTTACTTCTATAATAAAAAATTAAAGTGAGGTATTTTTCTTTAACAGTCAAATTACCCATTGCCTTAGGGTATGAGAAAGAGGCAACCCAGATGTCTCCCCATCTGTGAAGACTCTTCTGACCAGTGCGCCAGACTCTCTCCCACCACCCCACCCCGGCTCCCATCCCAACTGGTTCTATGTGAGCTGCAGAGTCTTATACCTATTCTGCAAGCCTGAGAACTGGAGCCATGTTTTTGGACCAGTGGAAGTATTCCACACTATCTGCTGAATGCAAGAACAAATGAACAAGTACTTCAACATTGTGAAAGGCATTTCCAGTAGGGGCACCTCTGCTTGGAGGAAAGCCTAAGATCACATTCTTTGGTGATTAAACATTGAGGGAAACTAATCGTAACTGGATAGAAGTAGATGCACATCCCCTTCTGTAGATTGCATTGCTAAGACACAATCAAACTACAAAGAAAATGAACCTCTGGCTGATGCATGAGTGAAAAGGAACAAGTTGAACAGTGGACTCAGTAGGTAATAACAGCCTGGGCACTGCCCCTCCTATATCCTTGCCCTCACCCTGTACCTCCTTCACACCTCCTTGCTTGGGCATAGATTGTG